TGAGGATGGTGAGGATGAGGATGAAGATGGTGAGGATGAGGATGGTGAGGATGAGGATGAAGATGGTGAGGATGAGGATGGTGAGGATGAGGATGAAGATGGTGATGATGAAGATGGTGAGGATAAGGATGGTGAGGATGGTGAGGATGAGGATGAAGATGGTGATGATGAAGATGGTGAGGATAAGGATGGTGAGGATGGTGAGGATGAGGATGAAGATGGTGATGATGAAGATGGTGAGGATAAGGATGGTGAGGATGGTGAGGATGAGGATGAAGACGGAGAGGGTGGAGATGGGGAGGGTGGTGAGGATGAGGATGAAGACGGTGAGGATGAAGATGGTGAGGATGGTGAGGATGAGGATGAAGATGGTGAGGATGAGGGGGATGGGGCTGAGGAGACCGAGGATGGTGACGATGAGGGTGAGGAGGTTGAGGAGGAGGATGCTGAGGATGGTGAGGCTGAGGGTGGTGGGGATGAGCATGGTGAGGATGAGGAGGGTGGGGCTGAGGATACCGAGGATGCTGAGGACGAGGATGGTGAGGACGAAGACCCCCACCGTTGCCCGCGACTCACCTGAGCGGACCCTTCCCCTCCGGCCCGAAACTGGGGCAGGGTCTCCAAGCAGAAGACCACGATGGAGACGAGGATGACGAGGACGGAGAGCAAGGCCACGGCGCGGGCGGCCGGCGAGCTCTCGGGGTGCTCACACAACAACCACGCCCGCCGTCGCAACCGCCCACCGGGCAAGGGTTGGGCCACCTCCACCCCGAAGCCTTCGGCCTCGCGGAGTCTTCCCTCCGCTTCGGCGCCCAACTGGTAGAAGCGTAACTCTTCCAAGAAGACATCTAAGGGGACGTCGGGTGGCCGGCGGAGTCTTCCACCGGATTGGTAGTAGTAGAGGACGGCGCCGAAGGCTCCGCGGTGGCGGTCGAAGAAGTACTCTCGGCGTTGGGGGTCAAAGCGTTGGGGGTCAAAGTACCGTCGGCGCCGGCGGGGGTCACCC